ACAAGGCCACAGAGAAAACTACCAACATCGGTGTTTTCCAAAGTCTCTTCTAAGGAATACTAGTTCTGCAAGATAGTGGTCAGTGTTACCTGGAAGAAGGTGGTGTTACTGGATATGAAAGGGGAATTACAGGTCCAACAGAGCTAAACAAGTTTGTTGACTACAGGGCTTTTCAGAGTTTTTAATCGCTAATATATATTGCAAGTTTCTAAGAGGTGACCATAATTTACATTGTTTCCCTGTTTGGTTAGCCACACAGAATCCTTTTTCAATGCTCCCATCCCCACCCTACTAGGATTAAATGTTCTACAAAACTCATTTGGTAATGGTTTAAATAAGACTGAGGATAAAAATTAATGGCTCATTCAATATTTACTTTTGTCTTAGCTGGAACCAAGATATGTTAAGACTCAATATCTCTGATAGCCATAAGGCTGAAAGCTAAGAATTTGTTTACTTTTGATTTTATGAGGCTTAACTGACCCACTGGGTAGTCAATAGAGTAAAGTCACAACTTGAAGACTAAGTCTTTATGACCCAGTCCTTCTTTTAATATGCAGGCAGATTTCATCATCTCTGTGATGGTGTCTTCTGAACGTCCCAACCTTCAACCGTCACACCTGCCCCAGACTTTGTGAAATACTGACTGTTTGAACTTCCCACTTGACATTTAGCTTGTCCTGTCTTGTTCTGTTTCTGTACATGTTTTCTGTTAGAACTTCTGGATGGCTTTTGCCCCTGGTTCCTGGGAGGTAGCCTCTAAATCCTTGGAATTTTCATGGTGGTTCTCTCAGACCACACTTGTGTTTATGTGAATGAGATGACTCAGAATGGGGGTTGTCCATGCCAGAAAGACCAACCATGTGATCAGAAATCTAGGGCTTTGAGCCACATGATATCCTGGTAGCCTGATTTCTGAGGAAGAGAGAGGAGATTGAGTAACAGGCCAATGATTCAATGAATCATGCCTATGTAATGAAGCCTCTAAAAAACCATGGACACCAAAGTTTGGTGAATCCTTCTGGTTGGTAATACTTCATGTATTGTCATGCATCAATGTGCTGAGAGCATGATGTATCCTGACTTCACAGGGAGAGGACATGATGTTTCACATTTCTTCTTTTGGCTAATTCTAATTTGTGTCCTTTGACTATATTAAAACTGTTATCAAAATTTGTGTCCTTTGACTATATTAAAACTGCTATCAAAATATAGTGCTTTCTTGAGTTCTGAGAATTTTTCTAGTGAATTATTGAAACTGAGGGGGGAATGGGGATCCCCAAATTTGTAGCCAGAAGTGAGTGTGTCTGAATTGAGGGCAGTCGTGTACCCTTAACCTACAGAGTCTGGCCTAACTCCAGGTAGTTGGTGTCAGAAATCATTGCAATTATGACAAGTGAACGAAGTTAAGACACAAAAAAGTATGTACTATAGTCTTTAAAAATACAAACTACTATATATCTAGGGACAGAAAGCAGATCAGAGGCTGTCTAGGACCAGGGTAGAGGGAGAGGGGAGGAGAGTGGACAAAGGGACAGAAAGAAATTTTGGGGGTGATATATATGTTCAGTACTTTGTAGTGATGGTTTCATATATATATATATATATATGAAATATATGTGTGTGTGTGTGTGTGTGTGTGTGTGTGTGTGTATTGCTATCTTGTTACTATGAGTGAACAAAGTCAGGTAACAAATTTGATTTTATTCCTGGGTTGTGCTGAGAGGTCAAGTTACAGTTAGCTCTGTAACTTTGCTCATGATGTTCCCTCTGCTTAGAATGCCCTTCCCTGAGTTTCCACCCTCTCTACTTAGGATTACTATTTTTCAAGCATAGCTTAAATGTAATTCCACAAAATCGTCCTTGAGTTCTTGAGTCAGAAATTATGTATCCCTTTCCTAACCTCCTGTAATGCTTTTTTTTTTTTTATGGCATTTTTCAGTGTCCTGGGCTTCCCGTGTATGCATGTATGGATAGAAGTAAACCTCCCATTTAGACTATTAGCTTCTTGAGGTTAGAGGCTATGCATTTTATTCATTCCTGTGTTTCTCATGGTAAGTAACACAATTCTTCACAAATAGAGGCTAGTAAAATATCAAATTGCCAAAACACAAATTTCTCAGCATCCTTCCCATAACATCTTTTAGATTCTTAAACCATTATATTACTCAGTCTCCTTTTCCGCCTCTTCCTCCTCTTCCACCTCATGTTCCTCTTTTTCCCATCTTTTCCTCATCTTCAGGTTAAATCACACTTACTTTCTTAACTTTTTTCTTCAGCCAAGCCCTATTCCTCATCGTCTTGTTTATGTTAGGGAGACACACACGTGTTTGTGTTTTGGTATTGTATGTTCTGTCTACCTACAATAGTAAATACTGTCTACTATCCAGTAAATTTCAAGCGATAGCTGTCTTAAATCTAAACATTTAATTTCTCCAACCTTTTCTCCAATTTCTCAGCCATGGAGCATAGCAGTTAAAGTCTCAGGCTCCAGTGCCACCAGGCTGGATCCGAATGCCAACCCTGCCACCTATTAGCTCTGTGATCACAAGTAAGTTACCTAGCTGTCAGTTTTGTCATCTGTAAATTGGAGGTGGTAATAGTGGCTATATCCTAATATGCTTTGAGGATTAAATGAGCTAGTACATGTGGAATGTTTAGAACAGTGTCTAGCATATAGTAACCACTCTAGCTATCATTCTTTTCATTGCATGCTAAGAAACATTTGGCGAAGGAGTGGTGAGACACGCGGAGTTGGAAAGGTAACTGAGTATACTTTGAGGGTGATATATATGTTCACTACTTTGTGGTGATGGTTTTATATATATATATATATA